CAAACAAGAAGGCGAGATAGAATGCAAAAAAGGATAAGGGGCAAGGTATGGATTATATAAGTAAAAAAATATATGAAAAACAATACTTTCTTTTATAATACTACTATTATATAATTATATATAACTGTACCCTATTCAACCTAAACACTGGATTCAAATACTTCCAATCATTTTATCAGAATCATCAATAATATTGAATACTTTCAACAATAGTCTATTCCAAAAAAAGTGAAAATGACTAACAATACATATACCGAATTGTGACCAAATGGGTATAAACAGGACTCCGATTGTGTACTTAGAATCTACAAGTGAAGAGCTATGTAGGATGCTAAAAGGAGGACTATATATACAGGTATTGGGAGCCATAAGGGCTAGGCCCAAAAGGGTGAAAAGGTCCTAGGCGTAAGATGCCTAGGTCTAGAGCTATAGAGCTAGGGCTCTAAGCTGTGAAAGGAAGGTCCAAAAGAGCCGTTATATCATACTACATATATAGTATAAGCCAGTGGGTAGAAGAGAGCCGTCTGTTCCGTCACATATACTAATAAAGGCTTTGTCTATACTGAAATTCGAGCAATATTTAAAGGGTTTAGGGCTAATTGCTTAAGGTTGGTTTAAATGAAATAATTCTTTCTATTTAACAGAATTACAAATATTATTTACAAACTATTTTTTTCAGAACAGGATATTAAAAAAGTACCTTTGATTAAGGAAACAGAAAACCTTGAAGAAATTAAGGTACTTTTTTATTATAATATACTTATTATAGGATAATTGAATTTTATAGGAGATTAGATATTATAACATTATTTATTGTTGTAAAAATTAATAAGATCCTAAAGTTTAATCAAGAATAGGATTCAGGTATACAACCTAATAATATTTCATAATTAGTTATTCTAACTAATAAAAGAATATTGGAAGTGTAGTCCAGATTTATATAAGATTATGTGATATAGTTCATATAATATTATCTATATACATATATCTCACATACTTATATATATATCCAATGCTACTAGAATACCTCTAAGGATATACATATATAATATTACTACTGTTGTACCTATTATGATCTTAGTGATATTCCAACAGATATAATTGAATGTAACTTGAAAGAGTAAGGAGATCGAGTAGTTTTAATCTACTCGGTATAAAAAGACTTCCTATGTATATCAAAACCAATATAATAAGATTAGAAAGAACATCGTTATAATGGTTTACAAGGAGATAGAGAATACGAATATTTGTAGTCAAAAATGAACATTTTTAAGATTATATAGATAGATACCGGTATTAGAAAGAAAGCTTGAGGAAATAATAGTTAAAAAAGAAGAGATGATAGGAGAAATTAATTATGGTAATAATTGAAATAAATGATTCGAATAACAATATAACATTGATGAGAATAGATCACGAATGGAATGTACTGTCAATCTAAAGATTAGATCGTAAAAACAGGAATGTCAACTCGAATTTGCATCTGTTAGGGCTAATATGGTATAGAACTTCGGCCATGAATTGGATCACATGTTGTTGTACGAGTAGATTTGCATCTTGCTTCGGTTATCATGGTCGTTCCATGTACTCCGAGAACCACGAATATATACTCACCCGAGCCCGCAATTTCATACTTCAAGGTGTGATGTATATTGTGGGGAGATTGAGCCTGTTACTTACTATGTAAGACTACGAGTATGTGGGGCTATGTGAGGTATATACGTATAGCCTTACTGATCAAAAATGGAATAATCGGACGATTGAATTGGTCATGGAGCATAGTGGATGGAGCATTGTGGATTTTAGACGATGATTTGTATTTAAACACCATTCGTGCAGCAATTTCTCTTTAAGATTTTCACTGGGATGTAAGATGACATGGTACAAGGCGGATGTGATAATATTCAAAGAACTAGATATAATTCGAATGTCATGAAGCTTATAGAACCTTTGAAATGTGAAATTGTAAGGAATTTTATTGGGTGTAACAACTAGCGGAAAATGACAAGAGATACAGATGTATGTAATCGATGGCGAGAAGAAATAGCGAGATGGTTGGGTTCGGGATACGAGTGGTAGTGATATATAGAGTGACAATAATAGATACAGAAAAAGCTTATGATTCTATCAATAAATCCCAGGCTTAACAGAATAGACTCATAGCATAGTCTCGCAATGTGTATCAAATCAGACCTAAGGGTGTCATGTTGTGTTGACTTGCTAGTATTGAGAATTTCAGTGGCTATCGAAAGGGGGTTATATAGATATAGTTGTGCTGCAGATTGAGCTGCTATTTGTTGGGGATAAATCTATATAAATCAATATTCTAAGTCTTGTGTTAGTTCTCCAGGTGTAGCTCGTGGCTATATGGAGGTTTGCTAAGGTGGATGCAGGCTATATATTTTGTTAGTTGTGGAAAGTTGTTTAATTCTACTTGGAGTTGACAGGGTTTAAATTTGAGCTGAGAGAGGTAAAGAGTCAATATGGTATAGATGATGATGGTATTCATGGAACACCTGCTATAGCAACTACTGACAATAGTTAGATCCAGATAACGGCAATAATAGTTTGCCTTTTTACCTAAAAATGAAAATATAGTTTTCATGCCGTGGAAACTCTAATCAGAATAGGCTGTTTTTCATCAATGCTTTTCCATAGTCTGTGGTTGTAAAACGCTTATAGGTCTTGCATAGAGTGAAAATCTTGCAGATAACAGAGGCTTTTATATACCATCGGCTCAGATTTAGCCATCTTACCCGAAATTCTTCATTATTGAGTTCTTGTCACTAGATATGCCGATTCAGCGGGCAGCTTTCAGTGCAGCACTGATCGGGGTATCGGGGAAATGGGATGTCACGAGACTGTTGATTGGAAAAGATCATAAGATATATACATAAAGGAACTTGGAAGTTGCAAAATGGAGATATTTTTGGATCATCTTGGACTACATTGATTGATATATGAAATGGTGTTGAGTTTCAGATCTTCTGATACTATCATCATATGCTTTCCGGAGAACGAATCCCTACAAACATAAAACTTGGAACGAGGAATTAAAACGAGATAGATTGCCATATAAAAATTTAGCAGCCTCGAAACCGAGCGTCCATGCCGCAGGATTTTGTGATTTCCGTTAGCAATAACAATAAAATGCAAACGGCAGGGATGATGTGCAAACTTTTTAGCCAGAATATTGCGGAGAAGCTCGCCTAATATGCCTAATATTATGAACGAACTGCTACATTTGCTCTAAAACAATCAACCTCACCATTCTCAAGATCCACAATCCGAGTGCCACGATTCATGTCTGAACCCTTCATCAAAATCTTTCTCATCCATACCCTCCACAGTACTGTCCTTGTCATTGAGGGAAGACTTCTGCTCATGCTCTTCCTCATGCTTCCATTCATCATCCTCCGCAAATGTTGCACCATTGGCGAAAGTGTCACTCTTTACTAGCAGTCCTTTGCGATAGTAAATTCGCCTCAAATTGAAAGCCCAGACAAAATCGTTTGGACTAGAACTGACCTCCTCATCAACCCCTCTTTTGTATCTGAGATCGAGGCCCAAAGATGCGGGAAGGATGAGCATCGGTTGATTACCAAACTGCGAGCCTCCTCCCCCATCATAACGGTCTCCGCGCCATACCCTTCCTTGCTTTGCGATTTTGAGGCCCGTGATCATGTAAATCTTTTTGCGACGGTAATGACTCCCCAGATATGTCTCGATGTTTGGCCTCCCCATACTTTCGGTGATGTATTCAGGCGTAGGAACAATAATATAGGTCTCTAGTGTTTCGAACTCGGCATGATTATAGACACCTTTCTCGAATTCGGCTCGTGTGGATGCGCCAACGGGGAGAATATCCACATCAGCAAAAAGTGATACATTTCCCTCCCCTTGCTGGGAACTTCTCCTAACGAAAAACTTTTCGATTGTTGAGTAGGTCGGCATGTTAGTTGGAAAAGGAGACGGTTCGCTAAAGTCAATAGGCTGGTGCGGCTCTTTAGGGTTCTCTATGATTTGGCCCAATTTAATTGGTCCATTGGGGGGAGTGGTTGTATCGAAGGGGAAACCAACATTTTCCCGCCATTTTAATGCTAGATGAAGGAGATTGAAAATGTTGCAATCTGGATGATTGAGGATTGATGATAAAGCTGAAATGACATGGCTAATTATTTATAGCTATTGCAGCCTAAATTGCGCACTGTTCTCAGCTAGAAAATCGGCTTTCCCTTGGAAATGATCCCTCTGATGATTGGTGATATTTTTAATGCACTGCATATTGCATTCCCTGAATAATTGGTGAAATCCGAGGATACTGCATATGGTGAAACTGTGAACTATTGAAAGAGGATGCAAATAGGTTTATAACGTGCATGCAAGTTCCAGTACATTGATGAAAGCCAATACCTATTGGTGAATTGTAGCTTAGGCTTTCTACGACAGAAATCCTCCACAAAGACGATAAGATTAGCCTAAGCGCAAGATTTCGAGCAAGTTTGAAAATTTACATTATCTGAAGGGCTGCTTGAATGATAGGAGATAAGTTGGCAGTGAAAATTTGCACGGACTTTGTAACCTTAAGCATATATTGCTTCTAATACACATGAGGTACGATTTAAATAAACTTGTTGATAGAAACCAAAGACCAAAACTATCAATGATTTCTTTGCTCCAAAGCCTTGGATATACGTTCACGTACATCTGCAGAATCCTTGCCGTTGGAATTTAGAAAGACTTTCACCGGAGCTATGAAGTTATAACCTCCTTTCTCGCCCCCCCCTTAGTCATGGCACGTAGAACAGCAGACATACCACATTTAGTCCTGAGAGATTCTACATCTCGGACTCTATGTGGCCTGTCTTGGTCTTGTCGTGCAAACTCAAGTACAAGCGCTGCCACACCAGCTGCGATCTGAGTTTCCATTGATGTTCCGCAGCCATATTTCACACTAGGCTTCGAGCCTGTAACGAGTTCACCGTCCAGAGGCACAGCTTCTCCTAAAACACTAAAATTTTCTCGTTTTGGATTAGGAGGATTGCATTCTGAGGGATTCCCATAACCATCTGCGGCGTTGATGCAAATCACCCGATCCTTCATTCGCGCCGGAAATCTAATTGGAGGATCCTCGTTTGCGCCATAATTGGAGGCAGCTGCAAATATCAAGGTATTATGAGTATCATTAATCGCCTTAAGCAGTTCTGCATTCTCGTCCTTGAACCCAAATGACATTGAAATGATGTCGAGTTTCCATACATCTCTAGCATGAATGATTGCCTGCAAGTAAATATCTTAGTTCGGTGTTTACAAAAGGTGAAATGAAAGATATACCTTTGCAGCAGGGATAGCAGAATTCAACTCTATGGGTCCTCCATCAAACACACGAGCAATGTATATCTCACAAAAAGGTGCTACTTTGCGAAGCAAAGAAGCCATACGAAAATCATGACGAGAATATTTGACGTGTCCAAATGCAGTGGAAGGCTCTATAAATTCTTTATAGTGATTGAATTCATGATCCAATGGGTGCAAAGAATGTAATCCCGTACCGAGAATAGCAACCTTAACTCGAATATCTCCAAGATATCTTTCACTCTCCAAATTATTGGAAATATTTTTCAGATTTTGGAAATAATTAGCCGCTGAATTCACTCTATTGAAAGTGTTAGTATAGAAACAAAGAGGATCATTCCGATCACATACTTAGTATTGGTCGGAGATGAAGACATTAGTGTTGTATCGAAGAGGTCATCCTCATGTACTGTTGCAGAGCGAACCTTTCGATCTTGCTCATAAGAGATTGAGTCATTGTACAAAGTAGGGGGTCTTCATCCGCTAAACATGAATTGGTAGCTTCGTCGTCAGACTCATAGTCACTTGTATCTATCGTCCCTCTTCTGCCCTTTGGTTTCTTTAAATTTGAAAGCTCGTCTGATTCAGCTTTTTCAAGCCTCTCTTTTGTGGTATAACTGTGACAATTCAATAACGGTGGCAGCACACTTCGAAGAGTATACTGATCCATTGGTGCTGGACTGTCTCTCAACAATTTAACAAAAGAATCATTGCATCTTGCGTGATGACAGAGTGGAAACCTGAGTTGACAGCAACTCAATGCCTGAGATCTGGGGTTGCGGCAATTTGGCAATTCGTACTTCTAACGTATCAAAATTGAGATTATTTAGGGTATCTTGACCACAGTAGCAGCCCCAAAAGTGATAAGCCTTCCCTGATGCTCGGTTTAAAAGGTATGTTGGAAATAGACAGGAAGAAGACTCAGCTCATGGGACAAAAGAATATGATAAAAAGGGAGGTATTGGTAAGGAAGTTTACAGTTGCTTGATCATCAACTGCAATAATTGATGTTCGTAAGAAAACAAGTGTATAATAAGACACTGTGACTTTGTGGTAAAAAAAATTTCAAGATGGTTAGGTTGGAGCTTAGAAGTTGTGTCAGATCTTAAATTATTATGTTGCGGTACATATACATAGGTTACAGAGGCTTGAGAGCCACAAAGCAAAGCTGCCCAATTCCATGTTGTGGGACACCTTTGTATTCAAATTCTGCCATTTTGGGACACAAATGAACACAATGAGGGGGAAGTCCATGCACAGTTCCGAGTTGTACTATATTTTGTCAAGTGATAAATCGGTGGTCACGAATCCTTTATATCATTCCATGAGGCTATGGCATGGATGTTTGTGCAACATTAGGATGTGACGTGGAGGATCACTACTTAGCCGAAAAACGGTTGATGCTGGTAAATATGGTACAGTAAATACAGGAAATATGTAAAGAGGTGGGGCAGTCTCCTCGGACTTTACCAATATGGTGAAGTTAGGGCATTAGCGGTGTGCATAAGATAGGGAAAGCATATGTTGGGTTCAAACTGCATGCGAGAGAGTTTGTAGTAGACAGGTTGATTTCAAAAGAGACGAGGATGCTATGCTAGATCTAATCATTGCAAACAATAATGCCATTCGCATTGCAAGCAGCTTCCCGTTCGAAAGGCCATCTATGAGACAAGTGAAGAAAAATAATTGCACCATAGCCTCACATCTCTGCCATTTCCGCTATTTCTACCAAAGAAAAACCTATAGGCCTAGAAACTATCGGGACATTAGGAAGAAGAGTATCTAGTCAATGCCACTCGGCAACGCATCTTCGATCATTGCAATCATCCAATTTGCCATAGGAATAACATACGTCGCAAGCTTTGCAACCATAGCGGCACTGGATGTATCATGATCATTCTTCAGTAACTTCAAACCCGCTAAGACAACCGTCGTAAGATCACTTACAGAAGAATCTGCCTTCTTCGACATCAACACCTCAATAGATGCAGGTACATCAACACCATAGCTCGCAAATGTGAAATCCACGATGTAGGTTGAGTAATCTGAATTGGCTAGAGTAGCTAGATTTGCGTCGAAATATCCTTTGCGGTTGCCAACGTGGATGGTGGCAATATCGACGACTATAGGAGCAGCGTTGAGGATGTTCCCATGGTAGGAGTTGAAGGTAGCGGTAATTTGTGTGAAGTACAGGATGTAGATGGATTTGATGATGATCGAAGGAAATATATATGCATAATAAAGTGCAAAGTGGTGAAATCAGTGTGTACTTTGATCTCAATTTCGAGAAGTCCATTATCTTATAAGTAATTGTCATCGACAAGACCCAGAACAAATTAATCACAGTTGATGATCTACAGCACCAGTAGATCTGAAGTAGCTAACCATCCACACTTGTGGCTTGATACTCTGCATCGCCAAAGGGAAACTCCTGGACGGATCACTCATCATGAGGTTTCTCCAAAGCGGCTACAGGGGAAAGACCAGGAATGAAAAAAACAAAGCCCGGCATATCATTCTAGATTGGTTAACTAAAGCATAACTTTTTGTTTTTCTGGTTCGGTATAGCTTGCAGATATCAAAATTATTCATTACATGTTGACATAGCTGTAGCTGTTGGTATAAAGATGTCGATAGTTCCGACATTCAGTTCAGAGGGAGAGATAAAAGTCAAAGTTCGGTAGTATTCACTAAGTTGTTAGCGCACAGTAACGTAACGCTAACTTCTACTAGTACCCTTCATTGTAGAAAGAATTATTATTACCATATATTGGGTGCCAAATTGTTTGCCAAAAACGGTATTATTGTACAACTATATTAATGTAGACAGACCAACCAAGAAGCTCTCTTATCAAGACAAACACTCACTACTCATATCAATGGAGCTCCTTGGCTCGATCTCAGCATCATGTCCATTGTGATACGGCAGATCTGCATCTTCAGGCACTGACCACTTATGATAGACCATCTCGCCGAGTTGTACAGAGTTTCCTTCGCCATCGATGCCAATGACTGGGTCTCTTATAACCTCCAACACAGCACCACCCAAAAACAAAGGAACCGCGAAACGAAAGATCAGACAATAAACAACGCCACCTAAGAGCAACGAACATCCTATTGTAGGAACAATATACCAAGGCACGGAGCTACCGAGAGCTTCGGGAATCCATAACGCGACCACGGGGAATACATTGGCAACGAAAACAACAATAGCTGTTGCGAGGCTGAACCATCGATTAGAGGTTGAGTATGTATTCCATCCAGAAGACCTTGTTGAGCGCATCCAAATAATTCCAAGGCTGAGACTTATTGCAACCATTGCATCAATCGGATACGTGTAAATACCTGCCCGAAGTTGTCAGCGAATGTTTGAGAAGATGAAAAAAAGCTTGGAAGATATAGGTGCTAGCTCACTTACTAACAAGTAATGGATAAGCATCCTTCGACTGAGGAACGCAGATTGATGCAAGAATTAGGATCGTGGAAAATACACAATGAAGCACAAGAGCAGGGAACGGTATTGGCTCGATTTTGGCTCGCTCTGGGGTGTTTCCTTCGGTCTCAACTGGCTCTGCAACCTGTTCCGAACGTTTGAATTTCTTGATCGCCCATTCAATGATGTTCACATTCTTAGCAAAGACTAAAGAGAAGGGAAGTATCCCTTCTTTCGCAATTTCCTGCTTGACACGAGCTGCGGTAAAGGTAGTGACGATGACATTACCCAAACTCGAGACTGCTAGACATGCATCCATAAGCTGAATTGAGCGCCCCTCATTCCAAGCTTGGCCAATTGTCAGCCTGAAAAATTCCTCCACCACTGATTTACCACTGGTAAAATTCCCATCCTTTGGTATGGGTACCACTATCATCTAGAATTGATGTCAGTCTAGTTTCATAGGCCGGTCATAGGCCATACAAACATATGAAATGTTTGTCAACAAGTACAGCAGACATAATGTTCCAACAGTCCATAATGATATGGCTCTAAATCTAGCGATTGGCTTTTTGATTTCACCCAGAACCTGGAGCTAGGTCAACTAGATCACAAAAGATTATATGTACAACACGATACCTACATAGTTCGCTTGGTTCCACCCTCCGCATGTAAAAATGATATTCAAGTATGAGGCTGCGAATCCACCAGCATGATCTCCTGTCCCAAGTTCTTTGAAACTGGTCTTCCGGTTGAGATTTGTGTATGACAGTGGGTCTCGGTGAAGGTGTTCAGTATGATTGTTTAGGACCATAAAACCCAAGATTATGATCATTAAAAGCATTGACACCTTGGTGACAGCAAAAGCACTGTTCAAGTGAACACCGAACATTCTGCCTAGTGCATGCAACAAACTAACAAGCCAAGCGGCACCGAGCGCAATTCCCTGCACTGTACCTTTTCGTGGATCGTTGATTCCTGCTGCTGCGAGAACATGGACTCCAAATGACACACAGTTGGCGGCAGAATTTCCAACCAGTATGAATATGAAGCCAAAAGTGCAGATAGCCATGTATTTAGGACGTTTAGCCAGGAACTTAAGGTAGTTTAGTTCACCACCACTAACTCGATTAGCTTCCTGTCGCAAACTGATTTGTGAGAAGACTACACCTTCTTGGAACAGCTTGAACCGCGCCAGCCATCTTGCGCCGTGGAATCGTAAGGCCATACTCGACGTACATCAATGTGCCAGCCATGCTGGCTATAAATCCCAAGCTCCAGAGGATGAGACTGCCCCCAATGTTCCGATCTTGTTGTATAATAGTCGTTGGAGATTCGAAGATCCCAGTTCCTTAGAGCTGTGAGCAATGAGCGCGGCAGATGTAAGATTTGTAGCGCAAGGGAGGTGGCATACCTATCATGCGATTTACTATGATACAAGCTACTTGGAATCGACTCAACAAATCTTTGTCTTCTGGAAATTTCGTGAATTCCTTTGAGGGATTACCAACAGCCTCACGTTCACTCAAATAACTCAATTGAACGATGCTGACACCACCCACACTAATGTTGCTTCTGTTTCGATGCAGATCTTCCGAGGTTATCACTGCAATTTGCAAGTCTTGTTGCGACGAATGTCTCGCCATCATTGAATACAGAGTTTTGGTTCTCGAAAGCGTTGGCTTATACGTAGAGTAACTGGATATATCGCCATTTAAACCTCTTCGAATGTAAAGGAGTGGTTGGCATGGCTGTTCTGAAGTATTTGAACCATGCCTGCCTGCCTGGCCTGTTCAGCAAGGTGAAACAGCCTCATTCTCGATACCCTTCGGATTGAGACATTGAGACAAGAACAAGAAGCCAAGTTCACAAAATGAGTAAGATTGTGGTCACACTGAGGTGAATAAGAGCCCGTCCGGTGTCCTACTTATAGCATTCACGACTCAGCTAGAATGATTAATGCTAGTTTACTGGCCTAAATTGTCCCGTGTGCGACAGGGGTATAGTTACAGTAGAAGAAAAGTTCATTTGCTTAATATATATCCATGTTCCTGATCCTTTTATTAATTTTGTTGGAAGTGCAGTACAGAGTCACACAAGGTCATGTGATACAGTTCATATAATATTGTCTGGATATCACTCACTTAGCTGTAGTGAACGGTAAGGCTAAGGGTTAGGGCAATAAGCGACACTTTAACCACCACAGAACATATATCTTTTAACATTAGTATCTCTATAGTTTAGTTCTTTAAGACAATACAAATATATAAAACATAATAATACTATTAACATTTTATTATTACTACGGTAAACTAATATTAATCAATAATTCTGATTTTATTATTGATTTGCAGATTAGCAAGATATTAACTTTGAAGAGATCTAAGCTTTTATGAAAACACTTGCTCTTAATATACTAAGAACAAATATCAGATTCAAGTTAGAAAAACACAACTTAAAGTTGTATATCTGTCCTTTTACAACGATTTTAAATTATATCACTCTCGAAACTTGCGAACTATAGATAGAAAGAAACTATATATCTATCCTTTTGCAATAGTCTATTCTATTATAGTTTTCATCTTCTTTTTTGATCTATAACAATTTTGCCAACTTTGCAAAGTTATACTTATTTATACAAATCTCTACAATTTGTACATCTATATCTACCTAGATATATTTACACTTACCTATATCTATCTGGATGTACCTACATCTATATACCTATATCTATTTATATATACCTATATTTACTAATATTTGTTTATTAATATAATACTTTTCGTTTAATACAAGAAACTTTAACACTTTGATAAAGTTATTAAATATTACAAAAAGATGATAATCATAAAGTTAATAATTCCTGGAATATATATTGACTCAACCGCAAATTATAATATACTAGATCCAGGAATAATATTATTAAGATATTCATTAAGATCAGGATTTATTATATTCATTTCAATAATTATATAAGTAGAATTATTAGTATTTGGTTCAATCAGTGAAAAGAATTATAAAGTATTTCAGATCAAATATAACAGAGAATCGGGTTTTGATATAACAACAGCCAATCAACAAGATATTTGAAAACTATGCAAATACAAGTATTATTACTACAAAAAATATAAACTATTTGATAATAGTTTATAAAAAGATTAACGTGGTTTATCAGTAAGCGGAACATATCAGTAACCGGAACACTTTTACCACTCCAACTCACTTTCCACTAGAATAAAATTACAACAACACAATAAATTAGAATTAAATTATATACATTCTAGTAATCAATTAATACTGGATCCAATTGACAAGTTTGCGTATTATACCCAGTATTATTGCAGTTGCTACATTTTCGTTTAATAGCTTGCCTCACCCCTGAAGAACCACCATTTGTACATTCGTTGTGTCGTATCTGATCTTCTATATTCTCTTGTTCTAATATATCATATCCATCTTTACTTCAAGTGTTTCTCCTTTACATAATTGAATCTTTTTAGCTTTCCAGTATTTGCTAAATGCTTCATTTGCTTTGCGGAGATTATAAACCTCAGCAGTTAAAAGTGTGTTCGCATAAGCTAGAAGCTCTATACCCTTAGCTAAAATTGCAACTGTTTCAAATATTGGAATAGATGAACTTCCTTGATACCAAACAATACAACTTTTTACTAGAGTTGATTGAGAAAGAGTTTCAATTGGATTTTGAAATGTTTGAGATTACTATATATCAGAATCAACTGACACTGATCTATCATTTGATAGTATCCTTATTCGAATATCCAGCTTTGAGAGTACAACTTCCGGTTCAAATAGTATTAGCCCAGTTCCGCAGAATCCAGCCTTACTATTGGATATAGATATTGATTCAAGATATGCAGTTTTGAAAACGTGAAAGAACTTGGTTTTGGTAATATGGATGATGTGCGCTTTTATAAAGTTCTCGATCTGCCAGCTATACAAACGTTTTAAAAGACTAAAACAACCAATATCAAATAGTTGAATTAAGTGCAAAGAATGAGGTAGTAAACTAAATGATATAATGTTGTGTTCCTTGCAGTATTCCTGAAATACTGCTGATTTATGACTTTCATACCTATCAAGTATTAGTATTCGATATCTACCCATTTTCCTGCTTAAAGTATGCTTATTGAAATGCTTAACCCATTCAAGACCTGTGTGATTGTCTGTTCATCTATTGGTAATAGGTTTAATGATCCAATTATATGGTAAATCCCTTTCGGTATATCAATTTGAGAAATGGTATTCGCTTTTAACCATCAGGAATGGAGGAATACTGAATCCCTCTCCATTGATACAAATGATCGCTGTAGCCCATTCTCGGTTGCCTGGTTGTATAGCTTTATTTCTTTTATATTGATCGATTCTAGTAATTATTATATACAATGATATTTGTCTTATCATAAAGCCCGTTTTATCGAAGTTGTATAAATCGTAATTCTGAATACCGTATTTTGCCCATATATTCGATACCAATCGAAACCAGTTCCCAATAAACTCTGGATTTTCACAAAAAGCTCTTTGGAAATCATAAATGCAATTAAAACACATCTTTAAATCTGAATATCGTTATACAAATCGATTAGCCCAGAGCTTTCCAATCTTCTTGCTACTCTGCGATTCGAGAATACAATTTGCCATATCTTCCACATCATTTATTCGAGGATTAAACCCTTTTTTATCTATATCCAATATATATTGAAGAAGCGATTTATCCTTTAATTCTGTCATTTTATAATGTATTGATCAAGATCCAGCTTTCGGTGTTCGATCGGCTATTCTGTAGGTAAGGGTAGTATGCAGTATATTATAGATTTTAGTAGTTTTTTGTATACTCAGTTTTTTGGATAAAGCAATAGCTTGAATAGCTAGATTAATTTGCGACTCTTGCATATTGATTTGAAAGGTTGGATATAGATTTATTGCGTGTCAAAGTTAAGAGGTGGTAATTGAGATAAAAGTGTTCCGGTTACTGATATGTTCCGCTTACTGATAAACCACGTTATACAAAAACCTTTTAGGGATTTATACCTGAATTATTTGAATTAGCTAATCTATAGTTATTATATAGATTACAAAACGAATTATAATTATATAATATGTTTATAAAAAAAGAATGCAGTATTGTAATGGAACAGACGGCTCTCTTCCGCCCACTGGCTCATACTACATATGTCACCCAAACACAATATTCCGAAGAAAAATTTCTGGTCGCCAGAAGTTGAATCTCGGTCTGAATTCAAACTCTATGGAGTCATAACATCATATACAATACATACCACTTTCTATAAGTCAACATAGCATTTCATACAATACCATCCAAGATCATCAATCTGAAAAACACGAATTATATTAATCCGCAGGTTTTAGAGATACCTTCCAATCTTAAAAACCATTCAAAAAGAAGACAGCGTATCTTTACCAACGAGATACCACCAATCTTCAAACTGGGAAATAAAGTATACACCAATAATATTAATTTAACGATAGAGGTCTTTAAGATCAAACTTGCTGAATACAAATATATTGAAAGAATTCAATAAAAGATTATGATCAGTCTGGTTGATACAATCGATAGATATATCGATTTCTTCGCTGTGAGGGATGAACAAACTGCAGCCAAGAAACTGAGCACCAGAGTCATAGAAATCCTCACATTCACTATCAACAACAGATCCGATCTATCATCAAATCTATTATATACACTATCAGTAACAAAAAGCGCAGCTTCTTTGAAGACACAAATTATTATCAAAATCTACGCGGGGATTCTCAAGACCTCCAAAACAAGTCAAAACAGAGCAGGCCGAATAGACCCACCCATATTTCAAGAGGTTTCATCAAAGGCTTTACCCAATAATACATATACCAAACAATAGACAATACAAACCGCCCAGAGCATAGATCACAGGTTATTAATAACTATCAGTCTTGTAGCCCAAATCAGCCAACTAGTCTTATATACATTAAGAAATGCTTTTATTGAGGCAATCACAAGTTTAACATTGGCAGATGTCCTTATTATATCTACTACTAAGATAGGATAGGCTATTATATCAAAAAACCCAACAATTTATAAACTACTCTATACACAAAAGAATAAGGAAATCATTCTTCGAATCAGCTAAGGTATACAAATATATTAATCAATAATGTAATATAATTACACAGTCCCCAGAGTCCCAGTATCGATATATATACTGAATAGATTCCCAGCTGATACTGTAAATCATATGGAAACAGAGATACAGGTATAAATGGGCCAATCCCTAATTAGTTATAAATCTTTCTGATATAGAGTCAACCCCCACAATAATACAATCACATAGGTAATATCCTTTTTCGAATTAGTCCATGGTTTTAGACTTTTTAATACTAACAAACTGGTACAGGAGATTAAGACAAAATCTACTATAACCTGATATAACATCAGCTACCAAGGCTGGTATAATCTAACAAAATACACCAGGCTTATCCACTATATAAATTATAGAGCTCGAAAAGATATATACAAAGGTCTATAAGGACTCAATTGTATAACAAAAGCATAACATACTAATTGTTTTGGATCTTTCGCGGCAGGACACCAGAATTGCCCAACAGTACCTAAGGTAGTGGATGGCAAAAT